TTAAATTTACGTCCATCCTTTGATGGAACTAGTTATGCTATGTATGTATTGCTGTTAATATTACAAGACTTCCCGTACTCAGTAGCTTCCATATGATATATACAGTTCATAAATAGGTTATTAAGGGAACTTGTCGAACAATAATGGAAATTAATGAAACTTATTTGTTTAAACAAATTAAAAAGTAATGTTTAATTCGCCATTTTCCACTGCGTACTAAGTAACTGCTACAGCGTTAACAATATACAAATAGGGGCAAATTGTGAATCTTAACCATACTAATGCCAGTGCAAAACTGGGTTAGATACACGGTGCTAAAAAGGTTTAATGCTCAGTTGACATCCAGAAATGAACCGGCTCCCACTATTTAATATTTAGACTTCTTACGTATTTAAAAATATGTTTAATTGAAACTCTTCAATTTAATAAATAAGAAGGTTTACAGATAAACTTAGTATATATGTTTAATCTTTTTGTAATTAGATAATAAAAATATAATAAATTTTTTTTGTAACCTGTAGTACATGCTTTCTTTAACTTTTTATCAATACTGAAAACAAGTTTGTTTAGAAAAAAAAACATACTAGTTGAGGCACTGACATAGTTAAAGGGGGCTCTGAAAGAAGTCAGTATTAATCAGAGATTTTCTCTTTATTTATTAATGATTTTATGCAAAAGCTCGATAAATTCGAGAGCAGACTGCTTAGTTTTCTAATAACTCAAATAATTTAGCACAATCCGTATTCAATTTACAGTAATCATCTCATCCTTTGACACTTAAATAGTAATAAATGTGTTGGCATACCAACTTTAGGTGTGCGTTTAAAGCGCGAACCCAATGTGCCCATCCAAGGTTTGTATATAAATTCTTGAGCTGAATGTTGGTTTGGGTGCCTACCTAATACATTCAAAGAAATAGTAGTTGCATTTCATAAAAGGACTTCAACTCGTTCCAGGCCCAGTTTATCTTGCAACATGCCAGTGCGTACAAGAATAAATGTTGGGTCAGCAGGAGTGCAATGACTGATGGTTTTTCGTACGATCAAGCAAAATATGCGTAGGCCATTATAGAGCGCACGCACACTTTAAAGAGGTGCAGTCTATGCGCAAGGACATTTTGCTTTTTGCACACAGAAGCGGATAGTGCATGAGTTACCAGCTTTGACTTTAACGCAACGAAATTCTATGTGTTACCGCCAAGTTAGTTGCTTATCGAAAATGACGCCAATGACGCCAAAGTATTTGGCATGAAATTCCAATGGGATCTGAACACCTTCGAAGGTTTGAGGAGGGGGTAATGCGGTATATTGTTTAAATGGGATTCCTTCAACTTTTCTCTACATTTACGGTTGATCCCCAATGGCAGCACAATTGGGCAAGTGTTTTCCGGTAGCGTTGTAGGTGTCGTTGTTATGATGGGTGGTTCTTTGAGTATACCCAAACTGCAATGTCATTGGGTGGGGGGCGACGCAGATGTGAGAGCAAAGAATCTTGCCTTGCATCAGCTGTCAGTCAATGATATGACCACAGCGCAATGCTAATTCCCACTGGAAAAGTTCCTTCGCAAAAAATGACGTCAGAATAACGAAGTACCCAGTGCGCGTAGTTGACGCGATCAAAGGCTTTTGCAAAATCGAGAAAAAATAATGCGCTTGGATTTCATAATTAAAAGGAAAAAGTTGTTGTGTCGTAGAGTATCCTCTTCAATATGCAAATCGGGATTTAGGAAGCGCTCCGTGTGCTTTAAGAAAATCTTTCAGTTGACCTAGTAGAACAGCCCTACCTATTTTGTTCACTGCTGAATTTAGGCTAATGAGACAATATTTGCAAGAGTTCAGTGAAGCACGCAGAGTTTCGGGTAGCATCACAATTTTTTCCATTGTCTTGGGAAGAAGCCGAGCGATATTGCAGAAAGTGCAGAATTGGAATGATTGTTATTTGTCCCAAGTGGCAATTTTTTTTAGCATTACTTTAGTAATGCAGTCGAGGACGGGTGCCTCCAGTCCCCATTCAGTTGAGAGGCCTTGCAATGTCTTTTTTCGTCACAAAAATTAGCCAATTTGGAGGAATGCATTGAGTTGCAAGATGGTCGGCAAAGAGCGCCGGCTCAGCTTCTTCGCTTTCAGCCACTCTTACGCCGTTATTAATGGCGGAAAGAAGGGTTCGGCAGGCCAGAGAGTATTAACCGGCCACTGTGACGAATAAACTTAACTTTATAGAAAAGGTAACAAGAAAAGTCTGTTTTTAATAGATAATGGGATAGCGTACATTTCTCAGAATACAAAATTAGATGAAATAACAATATACCAGCAAGCTGCTTTTCATTAACTATAAAATTTTAACATTATGTTTACCTAATATAGTTTTTAAAAAAATAATTTAGTTTAGTGCCAGTCATTGGCGCAGATGTAAATAGTACACTGGTAGATAACAATAATTTCGTTACTCCAGATATTAGCAGAATTGAATCATTTTCAGTACTGTAGATACTTTACTTAGCTAGGGCTTGTCAACTAACTTTTTAAGTAGCATTAAGTAATAAAATTTAAATATCAATGATTATACCATTCGGTATGTTCAAGCAAATATGACTAGCATAAGTTCTTTAGGATGTTATACCGAATTGGTAGTTTCTATGTTAACCTTCCCTTCTTTTAAGGTATTATGGCTAAAATAATTTTTTTAGGTGCCCTTAAATATTAACTAACTAAACGATTGACTATATGGTATACAGAGTTTGTAGTAAGTTCTACTTACTTGAAATTCAATTACAATTAGAATAATACTGAAGTGGTATTAAGGATAATACATGAAACTAAACCATTTCTTTTAAAATTTATTTTATTTTATATAAAATAGTAAAGATGTTTAGTTTTATAAAGTAGCAATAGTCGCGCTCTTCGTTTTTTTTCTATCACGAGCCCTTTTCCTTTTGGAGAGTTCCACGAAAGTCAGCTCAAGCAAAGAATCTAGTCCATAGATTAGACCAGTAGACTCAATCGCTATCTGCCAGGCTACACAATATAAACTTCATATAATGTTTGCGCAAACGGGACAGCGTACCTGCAGCCGTGAAAACAGCTTTTAAAGTTTTATATACTATTAGCACTACTATCATAGCTGCAAGGCAATACCACAAGGATCGAATGTTGGTGCGGTAATCTGAAAATTCAGTAGCTGCATATGTAATATTCTCATTTAGCTTTATAAAATAAAATACAATAGTTTTACATAAAGGTTATTAAATTTTTTTAAATACCCCCATGTACTCCCTCTTTATTTAAGAACTCATTTATTTTATTTCAACTTTTTAATAAAGTCTCAATAGCAATGAAGAACATGGTCGACTAGGCACTTAGTATATTCATGACCGAATTTTACTTTTAAGTACGCAATATATTAACTTTAACGGTTAATTTGTTAATGTACAGTTTTAAATCTAATACTCCTTCCAAAGATTTGGTAATTTCAATAATAAAATGTTTGTCATATATGTTACCTATATTTTTGCATTTATAAGTTAAAAATCCAATCACAATAGAGTAGAAGAGAGGAATAATCGAAAAAGCGTAGGCAACTTGGACATATGCTGGGATCAATCCCGAAGCTATTAAAAAGTATAAAAAGTTTTTTAGTAGCTCTACTCCCGTGCCTGCTTAAATGTTAACTACGAGGTGCTTCAAATATATATGTGTATTACTGCAAGTATGAACTTGCAACTATAACCAGAGTAAGTTCTCAACGACAGGTATAATGGCGTTTTTCGCTTTTTAATATTGTATTTCGTATTTAAAGTAATTTTATTAAGTGAAAATATTCAAAAGACCCAATGATTTTTAAAATGGGTGGTATTTGTAGAACGGACACTCTGGTCAAGCCTTAAATTCTGTAAGCTAACTAAAAATTTTGCACTTTATAATGAAACTTATACCCCAAACATAGTACAACATTTTGAAAAATGGCTTGATCAGGTGACATACTCACTTCTAATTGCTAAGCTAAAGCTGAAAGAAATCTTTCGTATATTCTTTACGTAATAAAATGTAAATTATTGAAAAAGAAAATAGAAATTAAACTAATATCCAGGCAATTTGCCAGATGCCTTAAGACAAACAATTACGACCCTAAGAAACTCATAAAACAAACTGGTTGCCCAGGACCGGTGCTCAGCAAACTCGGCATAAATTTGCTTAACTTAAAGTTTAACTAAGCGGCTAGTAGTCTGTTTGCAAAATTATAGTTAAAGTACTAAAGCTCTCCAAATATTTCTATGCAAAGCTTGAAATGTGTAAGCTTCTGATAGGAAACCCTTTAACATTTGTATTTTTTGTTTAATAGCGAAACCACATTTATATTGAAACACCTCGTATTTGAATAAATAAATTAAATATTAAATGTAAGTTTACTTTTTAAAACGGCCGGAAGAATCGCAATGACGTAAATAAACAAGTCTATGTAATAATACTTGAAGTGTTTTAATACTGGATGGAAATTGCTTTGACCTTTCGCGTAAAAAATTTCATATATTATACGCATGCGGATCGCTATGGCCGAAAGGAAATTTCCAAAGAAAAATGCAAGCAAAATGGCCGCCTGCCGAGTATTGCACATAAATAAATTACTTTATAACAAAAAACTAAACGTGCAGTATAATAATTTCGATTTAAAAGATTTAACTCTTCCCCGTCATTTGTTATGAAAGGAATAATGAACCTATTTTACGAACGGAAGAGTAAGTATTAGCTTACTGAAGAGGACGTCCGATACAAGGATTAAAAGGTAAAAGTATATAAGATATGGGCAGGGCTAAGTTTTGCGTAAATGATATCTAAAGCTGGCTTGCTATAAGGTTACCGGAACAAAATGATGGTTAATGGCGTTAATGTGTTTAAGCAGTCACCGTTCTACTACCATATTTAACTATTTTTAGCAACGCATTTTAAAAAAGAAGTAGTTGTTTATGTAGAAACTGTCACCTTATAGCCTCTTTTTTTCCCGTCATCATAACCTTGGGTGATTACTCTATCGGTTTGAGTCTTGGTGTAAAATATGGATGTTGCTGTTAAATTAAATAATTTTTTTAAAGTAGTTGAAGTATTAGTTTACTTAAATTAGTTTAGATATACCTATCATGCCCATTAATGAAATGCTTAAGTGACACAAGAAAACAGGCCCTCTACTGATGACAGCTTTAGTTTTACGAAACCACAGTGCAATAACAATTAGAATTGCTACAAATGCAAGGTGTATGCTGCCTGTTAAAAAAAAAGATATTTTTCTTCTTTAATGTTGTAATTCCCAAAAAAAAACTTAAAATTATAAAAAATACCCGAAAAAAGGCACACATAAAACATCTTTTTTAGTTCATAGCCCCCTTTTTCTTCAAGTAACCCGGTCTCTTCGGCAGGATTTTCTCTCTCTTTCAATGAAAAAATAAGATATACAGAACGGCAACTATATCTCCTGATAACAAACGACGTTTTAGCCTAATAGTTACTAAATATTTTTAAGCTAATGTAATTCAGCAAGAAAAATATACCGGAGCACAGAGTTCAAGTCCCACAACTAAAATGGTGTCCTAAGTAAGGCTTAAAAAAACTTAATAAAACCAAAACTTAAGATATCCTTGTTGTCTATTCATTTATTGGAATGTTAGCGCTACTCTGTTTTTCTTATATATAAACTACCACATTTAGACACCACAAGTTTGATCGCGCTGTGCACAACTTCATGAAGTTTGGTGAGCGAAGTACATTTTATATCATTAATTTTAACACTTATAATTGTAGTATTTATTCAAAATGAATAAGATCATCATTTACTGAGTATGCATAATATAATTATTTGCGATACTTTTAGGGCAAATTACTTTTTCTGCCCGCTACTTAGTAGAACAGTAGTCCCTAAGCTATTAATTTTTTAAAAATTAATATGTACTTTAAAGAGTTTTACCGATTGGACCTTTGTATGACTAATGAGATGCCGATTTTAAGTATAAAATATGATTAAAGTACTAGAATAAATGCTTTAAATTAAGGTACTATAGATATCAACATAATAATATAAGTGAACTTCAAAGTAAAAATTACTTACCAAAATTACTTTTAATTCCAACCACTAAGGATGGCAGCTGTAAAAATAGGGTAAATCCAAGTATGACAGAATAACCGACTATCCCTAATTAAAAGAATTCATAATTGCAAACAATTTTTTTAAAAGGAAAATAGAAGTATAGCAGCAAAAATTTAAAAGTTTTTAGCGATTGGCTAAAGTAAGAACAAGAAAGGTATAAAGTGCCACCATATTTTTTTTGATAAGGCCCATTATCGTTTCTATGTGTTATGAGTTTATCCATATTAAGACAAGCACAAAAAAAATGTTCTTTAAAGCTAAAATATACAAAAATTCAAACCTATTTATACCTAATATTGGCACACCTAACTTTCGTATACTTCTACCATTTTCATTTGCATTAGAAAAACGCAAATTTCGATAATCCTTTTTTGAAAACCAATCACAAGAAAGTTTAAATACCTCTTTGACAGTAACTTTGATATTGAACAAACTTAACGTTAAAAATAGCTTAATTGTTAAACTTTTAAAGACAATGTTTACTAGATTATAAAGTCCAAAAATTTACTAGTGAATAAAGAAAAGATATTTAACATAAAGTTAATTATTATAAAATTGTTTTCTGGAGAATGAGGTTGGTCGTACAATTTTGCTCTTTATATATTACAAAATACCCTAAATTACCTTAGATTTAAGTTCTATTTTAATAGCTCGAAACTCTAACAGATAATGAAGAAATCCGCTTAAATTTTGTCAAAGATTCTTTTTTAAGTAAGCATCTATTGCTATTCGCTAAAATTTTTTTATGAGATATATCCCAACAACGCTTTTTCTTTTGATGCACAATTTCTTTTCCTATGTATTATAAGGAGCTTTGCTACGCTTGTTACTATTGGATTGTCACATACATATTTTAGGTAATGCAAATGGAAGCAAAGTATTTGGAAAAGTATATAAAGCTAGATGTTTTTTGACACTAAAAGAGGTGTATATTACCATTTTATCAAGCTGATATGGCAAAAGGCTGTTAAACCTGATACAGATTTTACAAAAATTCTATAAGAACTGAAGTTGCTGGGACAGGAAGGGAATATCTGGTTAAAGTTAAATAAAACTTAACACATTTATAAAGCCTTTTGGAACGTTGTTTAACAGCTATAAACAAAACAAGTCAACTTATCTCTTGAAACAAGTATAAATATAACTTTTGGTTATTTTCAGTCTTAAAAATTAGGGTCTACCAATGAAAATATAGTGCGAGATTAGCAATTATAATAGATATTTAGATCTTTTTATTAATTTTTGTTAAGTATTTCTTAATAAGCTATTTTACAAAAGTTATCAAATATCAAAGAAAATTTTAGTGCTTAACCTAAAACTAATTTTATCTATATAGCTTTTAAAACGTAAAAAGTAGTAGCTAGATTTATTAACTCTTAATCCAGTAAAGGCTTTTAGAGCAAAAGTATTTACATAGTAGTACGCTGGATATAAATTTTTGGGGTAAACCGCTGTTTTTTTTTTTCATTGTAAAAGAACTATAGAGTATACGAATTGAAAGAAAACCGCGGTAGACCGCACGTGTTATGAAATAAAATTGTAGATTAAGAGATCGGTAAGTTAACAATAGCTTTAAGAATGTATTAATTAGCGGTAAAAAGTTTTTGTAAAATACCTCTATTTTCTGACAAAATATAAATTAAAAGAAAAAGTGTACTGCAAAACCTAAGATTACTCAAGTCTCTTCGCAAATAGACTTGTAAATGCTTCAACACTAGTTATTTATACGAATTTTATTTTATCCAAATTTGTTTATCTTTCCGATTACAATAAGTAACTCTGATTATTATAATTAAATTTCAAAATATTATTTTTTAAAATTAATTGATTTTCTCCTCTTATACACGTGTTAAAACCCAGTTAACTACAGAATGCTACTATTATAAATACGGATTTAATGATATATTTCATATAAGTAAAAAGATTAAATTTGGAAGTAAATAGGAAACCAGTTATGTAATAGAGAATTAATTAAAGATGGGCTGTAAAAACCAGACAACTAAAAACAAGAATCGAAGACCATACAATAGGATCAGAAACAAAGTAGAGAGACAAAAAAACTGCTCGTAAAACAACTACTGAAAATCAACCGTGTAACTTAAGGGAGTAGGGGAATATGTAAAAAAGGTGTACTTAAAGGACAAAAAAAACCAAAGATATTAGCGTAGATCTTGCTACCGGCGTCATTTACTTAATCTAATTTTCCTCTTTAGAAAGGTTTTTCCACGAATCACTGCACCATAAACGAGAACGGATGTGCTCTAATCATTATAGCTATATAGTACAACTTCTATACCTTGTAGGAAGGTAAATGAAAAATAATTAAGCAAATTCTTTATTTTTAAAAAGTTATAACTTAAAATAGTCGGTGGCGAGGCAAATCAATCTTTCTAGAATCCACTTTTTTTCATCTCGATACGTCCTAGTTTGCGCGATACTCTAGCGGAACCCCACTTTTATCCAATGCGGCCCCTGAGGTAGGATCACCTCTTGTAAAACTTCAAACAGAAATATTGGGGCTCAAAGCATACTCATTAGAAATTTAAGCCGAGTACAGTTTAATGTCGCAATGCTTCCTTATTGTAGGTTAAGCCCATTACACCGCAACTTAAGCACGTCCGTATAATTCTCTACACCAAACACCTTCATAGTAGACTTGCCCGAGTCTCCAATCAATAGTTGGATTGTACCATTGCAGTCAAGGTAAACCTAGAATTCCCGGAATTCCATTAAGTTTTGTAACTTTAGAGCTAGAAATTGCATAATGCTCACCACCTTAGATTGCATCACCGCTGTAATGACAATAACAAGTTCAGCAGGAATTATTCTTAAAATAATACTACGGGGTAGAGGGTTATCCAAAAGAGATAGCTTCAATATTACTCTTTCTTACGAAACTTAGACCACTGTCCAGAGATATGAGGAGCTGTAAACTCCCAATGAGAAAAACATTTTTAACCATATTCTTTAAAACTAGAGGCCCTGAAGCTCCAAAGGTCTCGCCGCAGACATTACACAAGGAAGTATTTGAATAAGAATAAGTTTAGCAGATAGAGATATGTATGATCTCGAAAAAGGATGTCTTGTGCAAACTTCTCATAACTCTGCTGCACCGTACGCGCAAACCTTGTTAAACTTTTTCTTAATCTTCCTCCTAGAAAGCCTTTAAAAAGAAGTTTTTCGACAATATACACGCGAACAAATAAGAAAACTGGTCTTTTTGAAATTCCTCTCTCTTTCGACAAATTTCTCCATAATTTGGGAATCGATGTTAACTGCTAAAAGCTGAAGATCGCGGGAGGTTTAAAATTAATCATGACACCTCGCTAGACCATCCTTTCTACTATCCTTTATTCCCCACAAAATATTTTTACAAACCACCTCTTTTAATCCGAGGCTGAATTGAGAGAATAAAACGGATGCAGTCTCTGATCCTTTCATAGCAACCAAAAACTTTCTAGCTTTTCTGGAACGGTCGTAAAATTAAAAGTTAATTGCACAAGGCTAACGAATTCAACCATAGTCAAAGTTAAATAAACAACAAATTAGTGCGGAACCATAAAAAGGCTTCCGGATTAATTTAATTTTTCCTATACAACTGTACGAGTTTTAAAAAGGATTCGTAGTTGAAAAATAAAAAATAAAAAATAAAAAAGCTTTTCTCTCTATGTTAATTGGTATCTAAGACAGTGATAATAGGGTCTCATTAACACCAAAGTTAAACCTTTCTTTAAAAAAACATAAGGTAGCAGTGATTCTTTATACTTGCAAAGCAAACTTTAATTAATATATTTTTGTGAAAAAAACTTTGACGAAAAGAATAATCTATAGAACTTGGATAAAAATGTGAGACAAAACCAAAGTTAAGAGCCAAAAATGAAAAAATTCTTTCGCCAAGGTTTAAAAAAAAACAAGAATCGATATAACAGAAGTATAAATACTAAATATAATGGTTAATAAACTGAATTAAAAACCACAAAACTACGAAAAAATTAAAAAAAATAATAGATTAATAAGGGTGGAGGAAAGAAAAGTATAAAACTAAAAAATTGGAGGAAGTGAAAAGAGGAAACTAACACTAAAAGAAAAAAGAGTGTTAAGATAAAGAATAAAATTTTTAAAAACAGATCCTCCTCCTTCCTTAAGAAATTTAATCAATAGCTATGAATGAAAAGGTACTCAATTATTTTTACAAGTATAATGAAGAATCTATGGAAACAGACTAGAAACAGACTATAAGGAAAGACCTGGAGCCTCTTTTCCATATTAAGAATATAACTGAATGCAAGGTCTCTGCGCAAAGGAATATAGACTTTAACATTCATGCGGTAGAAAAATGCAAATCCACACGTGCTTCGATATGGCTAGACACCTTCCAGGATCTACAGCGTAGCTCATAACATAACGTTTCTAGGAAATAAGCGATGCAACTTAGCATTAAAAATCATTTTATTTTTGCTTCCTGTTTAAAAGAATTAATTTTCATATAATTATATTTGATAAACGATGAACCCTCATCCTTTAAAAAGTTATTAAATTAGAAAGCCCCTCACTCGTCAAACAATTCTTTTTTAAATTGCGTAAAATAATTTTAATAAAATAATTTTGTACAGAAAACTTTTAAGCTAGTTTAAAAATATAATCTTTTATTACTATTTTTGACGATCATTTTTTTTTGCTCCAACCCTACTCTATCGCCTTTTCTCTTCGTCCACGATAGTATTTTGTAAGACTATTTGAAGTTTTCGACAGATATGGATTAGTTAGGTCTTGTACTTTAAGACACTGTTAGTATTTAAATATATTGATGGTTATTTAATAGCTGTTAGCAGCATGATTGTAAACGTAGAACATAAATGCAGTTACTAAGTAAAGCAATAAAATTTTTTTATTTTAATTTCAACTGTTTTACTTACAGTTAGTCACATTGAAAACTGCAGCTGTTCCGTTTGCTTAGCAAACAATAAAAACATATATATGATCACTGAATAAGAGTTAGGGTAAATAAAAGGTTTAGTGGAATGAACATAGTTTTATTTAAGTTTGCGAATTGATGTTATTTAATCCTGTAGGTCTTATTGGGGTATTATTTTCATAATTTTTAAATGTCTTATAAAAAAGTAGTTATTATTTATTTTAGTCTATATAATGAATTACAGTATTAATTTACCATTATACTACTTTTAAGTAAAGTATAATTATGTAGTATAAAATTGACGACTATGCTTCATATTATAAACAAAGTAAAAATTATAACGTTCAATGGAGATAAAAGGCTTAAAGTTAATAGCATTTAAAGTAATAAAAATACAGAAACTTGATAAAAATAATAATGCAAAGTAAAACTAATATATTAATATGAAGTGCAATAATTTTATATTAAAGCTATTAGAACAAATAGGAAACAACAGAGAGTTAAGCAGAATAGTTAAGAACAAAAGTAACTAAGCCCTTTTTTATAATGGATATAAGAACACCTAAATCCCTCCTCCTAGGAGTGAGGGTCGCTATAAACCCATCGGAACAACAAAAGTTCTCGTGACTACCAAATTAGGTACAAGGTGCGGACCCTTTAGGGCTATAGACACATATTTCACTCATACTTTTTTTGATTAATTTTTTACAAAAGGTTTCTATGAATTATGATATCCTACTATTTATTACTTTATAAATATAAAATTATGACATTATATATAACCATTAAAAACAAAATTTATTATAAGTTTTGCTTTAAAAGTGCAAGGTACTTGCTTTCTTTACTAAATTAAAATTAATATTTTTCCATCACTAAAGATTAATAGAATAAAATAACCTGCCTATCTAAGTTTATTAAAATTTCTTACTAGAAACTATTTAACTTTTACGAAGTGAAGGTTTCTTCTTTCCTAAGGCAGTTATTTATTAGTTGTTAGCGTATATCTCTGTAGCTTTCAATCAAGTAAAGATGATTAACAATTTACTAAAGAAAATATTTAATTAATGTCAAAATATCAGTTACTTTAGTAACACATTGCTTAAAAAAGAATACTAGCTAGGCGTATTGTTAATAGTTTATATTTTCAGAAACTTAAGTAAAATATTAAAGTAAACTTTCTTTTAACCTGCTTCGGTGTCTTTGTAACCAAGTATGCTATTACTATAAACGACCCTAACTATTAAACAAGTTCAAAGAAGCTAAAAGACGGGTCTCTGCAACTATTCATCCTATTTATAAATTCGAAGGCAGGTTATCAACGAAGTTCCAGATTTTCTCGCTCATGCGCGGATTGTACTTCGTAAAATAATTAATAAATGTATAGGATCTAAACTTTAAATTTTGATACTCTGTAGCTAAGCTACGTAAAACAGTCATATTTTTTTTTAGCAGGTTAGCGTGTCGCAGTGGTGCCATGGTCGCTCACGTTAACGGGGGCATTTTTAGTTCAGTTTCATGACGTGCGAGAGGAGGATCCTATGATGCCGAATTTTCAATAAAGTATTTTTTATTAAAAGGAACTAAGTATTAAGGCGAGTTTCTCCCAAACTATTTGCGAATTAGATACTTAAAGTTAACTTTGCTTCTTTGAACTATCACGGGCTAAAAACTTTTTGGAGTAGACACTGAGAGGATTGATGAACCCCTGGCAAAAGCTGACTTTATCGGGCGGCAAGAGCTGCAAGGGTACAAGGAATCGGTATTTGGTCTTGAAACCAGTTACTTTGGAACAAATACAGAAGCAAAGGAGCGCCTCTGCAATACAAGTGCGTTATATAGATATAAATGGTTAATTTTTCCTGTGTCATACTCCATATTCTTCTTCAAAAGGGGGTACTTTATACCTCTTTTATCGGCCAGTAAATTTTTTATCAATATACAAAAATTTACTCTACGAGATGCAAGTTAAATAAGCATTTAATAACGACCTACATATGAGATTATAGCTTGTTAATCAAGCCAAAGAACAAAAAATGCTATTATGACATGTTTGACACTTTCGTTTTATATGATCTGCTCTGATGGCAAAAATCTACACAGGCGTGGATATAATATTAAAAAGCTGCTAAAGGAAGAGCGGAACTTAACAGTAGGGTATTAATTTCTTAAATCGTTTGTTCCTTCCCAAATATTGGGTAAATAACTTAAGTGAATTCATAGGTGTATTTGTTACACTTCCCTCATTGATTGAACAACGCTCTTTGGAGGACGCGGTGGAAGGCTTCCCCTCGCTTCACAAAAAATATTAAAAATAAGACATAATTTTATTTTCAAACGGAAGATCGTGCTTTGAGCCCATCGGTGATACTATATAACTTTATAGGAGTTGGCTACCGATTAGAAAACTTTACTACGCTGCTTGGATTCACAACTCAAGCGAGTCATATTGCTTTTGAAAATGTATAGAAGAGAAGTTACTAAATGAGTTGTGCGTGTTTTTGAGGTTTCTGTCTCAGCTGAGGGTTTAATAAGACGTTAAATCTCAACCCTACTACTTGCAAAAGACCTCAAACAGAAAAAGTCAAGAGGAAATGGGGTTTTTATAGAGGGCTTGCCGTTCAGTACCCCGATCTAAAGAATAATTAACTGCCTTAGGCCCTTTATGAATAGCTGAAATCTTAAGCGCTATAGATGAATCTAACCGTTATGCGGAAATAGAATAGAAACTACTATAATCCATTTGTTAACAATATTATTTACACAAAGAGTGAAAAAATAATGAATACTTTGATAGACCTTCACCTGAGCAGTACTCTCGAGACATCGTATGAAAAAAAAATTTAAGTTTGCCTTAACTCAACCATAAAAGTAGTGTTCTAAGAATTTTAATATTACATCCACTGTAACTTCGAGCATATATTAAGAATTTTATGCGTGAAATTCAGCTTTATTTACTATTAAATAAGATATGGAGTAAGATGTTTATATAAAAAAACGAAACCTTGACAGAGAAATATTTGCGTAACTTCCTGAAATGGAAAGCCGTCCCCAACATTGAAGCTTTTGAGACTGTAGGAAAACGTAGGACACATTCCTACGTTTGTATTACGTACTTGCTAATTGCTTTTCATGAGCTCTTGTGCTATTCTAGAAATATACATCACCTTTTTTTTTTTACCACTTTGCTGAAGTAACTAATATTTTAAAATCTATATTATATGCTAATAACTGCTTTTCGTTAGCTCATGTTATTCTTTTTTAAACTTTTCCCCACTTTGTTGAAGTAACTACTGTATTACTTGTTATTACTCACCGCTTATTCTAAGTTCTTGTGCTGTTCTAATGTACATCACCTCTTCCATCACTTTGTTAAAGTAACTACTATTGTTATTACTCTCTGTTTTTTAAAGCTTTTATGTTATTCTTTTAACGTACCTTTGTAACCTCATTGTCTAAGTAACTACTATTTTAAATTATTATTGGTACGTTTTACTTACTTTGTACAATATTTTGTACTATAAATGCTCGTAATATAACCAGCTTTGCTATAAATGCTAACTTTTTTTCCAGGGAGAGAGTTCTCCTTCTAAACCGACTAGTATATTCGTGTTTTGGCACTTAGTTTACTTTTCCACAAAGGAGTCTTATGACAACTCCAAGTACAGTTCGGCGTTCTTCTCGTAATATTAACAAATCCAAAGAAGAACAAGAAAAAAAACATGTTAGTCAGCAGCCAAAAAGGAAGAATATCCAACAAGGAAATGCTGCTGGTTTTTCACAGCTATAACTTTTTTTCCCCTTGTCTAGAACTTTAAGCTTATTTCTTATTTATTTAAATTAACTGTATATATTAAATAATGTGGTAGCTTCGCCCATCCCGAAGAGAGCTAAGCAAGCTTCACAACCTGCAACTTCTACCCAAAAAAAAACAAGTCGTCATTTAAAAAACTTGAAAGCAGTTCCTCTTGATTTTCTAGCAACAGATTCTGATCGAGGTGCTCTGTTGTTTAATTTTAAAAAGTGTCTTTTTGAAATTTTTGAGCAGAAACTATGTCTACTTTACTCTTTAACTGTGTCCTTCAAGCCGGCGCATCTGGAAGTCCGGAGAAAGGAACTCCCAAGTCTTCTATAAAGTCTACCGCTCACACCAAATTAATTTCCGACTGGTTCAAAGAGTGCGTTTCTTAACGGACTGTCATTTGTGCCTTCTAACTATTTTCTAAAAGATACGAGGATCACGATGTGGTCGGAATGCGAATCTTAATCCATTTTATTCTTCTTTGTATTTTTTATTTCATATTGTTTTCTTACCCAAATTTATATTTATATAAAGCCAGCGGCTGTCCCTATCAGATCTCTCTTCAGCGGTTTGTGGACAGCGAGGCTCAGGTCCTCGCGTTTCTGCAATTCATGGTTCGCACTAACTCACATCCCGACTCTTGGGATTAAGACTGTACTCGCAAATCTGCTCCAAGTTTTAATAGAGGATCGCGCCGTTGAGGGATCGTACCCTCTCCAGCGCTCCCACTCCAGCAAGAAAGGTGTGCCCTTCCAGCGCCTTTCCTATCAAGGCGAGCCTCACTGCTTGTTTCGCGGTAGAGGACAAGCCCTACAGGCGCTTCTCTGAGAGGCTCTCTGATTTTCTCGGGAAAATCGTCTGTAAGGCCCACACAAAGGAACTGCTATTTGACGACCACTTCCTGTGCGCCCTCGTGGGATGGTGAGCGCGTGGTTGCTTGCACGTGTACCCTGTATTGACGCCTCCCCCTTTCCTGTATCCTTCAGGGTTACTGCCATGAGCCGCTCGCCTGCACGAGGATTTCGCCACACTGCTGTCTTCCTCGCCTGCAAGCTGCTCACTGTGCTTATCCAGGCAGGCAGCTGTTCGTCCTAACCACCCCGCTTTCCCCGCTATAACTTTGTTATCCATGCAGATCCACGAGGATGTCACCGCAAAACTTGACATGAACGCTTTGCAAATCAAAACGGTGCGTTAATTTCACCAATGAGAGTCGCTAGTGCGCCGCCGACTTTTCTTTATTTGGGCAGCATAATGATAAAAGGGGTCCCGCTAAGCAATTGCAGCAGCTTCAGAAAACCAGCAAAAGACATGCACAGGAACTATCTGAGGTGCTGCCAGCAAGGCTGTCTCTACTCACGTGGCGCTCTCCCTTATCCACGGCCTTCGCTTGTCTAGCTGGAGACCACTGTTGACGATCTCTTCAAGAAAGTCTATGCCAATCGCTTTAGAGACGTGTGGTGTGTTCCCTTGCTTCCGCCGTCTTGCCCCCGTAACGCTTCCTTTGCAGCCCCGACATACGAGAGATATGTGCTGTAGAGCTGGGAGTCTGGGAGCGGAAAATGGCCGGTCGGTTCCTGTCCGACAGCTACACTATGTACCACGGTTGGGCCCTCCATGACAAAGTATCAGTCCATTGGCTAGCCCCTCCACCTCAGACCACCATAGTTCGCCGCTACTGCAGGAGCCGCGTGTTCGATGGAGAACCGTCCAAGCGTTGGCGAGGGTCTACCAGGACGCGAAGCTGTACAGCTCATTGAAGAACTTCACGCTGAGATATAAGGAACGGCTGCTTGAGATGCTGCGGGACGTTTCCCCGGACGTGCGCAGGGAAGTTGCAAGCATACTGAAGCCTCTGCGGTGGTGCGCAGAGCACTCTCGCCTAGCTGAGTGAATGAAAACTCTCCTTATTTTTCTTTACAGTCACGAAGCACTGAGCGAGGAAGACCTCGATCTCGTGTACGCCGGTTTTCTGCAAACGAAGTGCAGTCCAGACAGCGCCCTGTCCGCCTTTGTGTGCTCAGAATATATCGAGACGGCGGTCCTCCGCAACAATGAAGAAACGAGCGGTAAACCGCATGTGGAGTGTGTGCCATGTGGTGGTATACGACCACGTGCTTCTACCAGAAGCTCGTGACACTCTGTATGTACGGGCTCTTGTCCGGTTTTATCTGGCCTACGGGAATGGCACCGCGGAGCACATGGTCCACAATTTCTGGGGAAAAGTAGCGCAGCTCCAGGTCCCACCGCAACTTATGATTGGTTCACTATGGGCGCTTGAGGGCTATATGGCTTTGCAGGATTGGAGGCTGCTAGCAGAGCTGCTCCATACCGGTGGCGGTTTGGACGATGCTGAGGCGGCCGCCCTCGTCCACATATTGGCATGCGCCATCCGCCAAGGGTGCAGCAGGATGCCACGTGCCGACGCTGCCTCCGTTGACATCGCGAAGCGGAAGTGTAGTGAGCATGTTCTTCCGAAGCTGCCCGACCTGCTAAACCGGTTTTCCACGGTGCCCTCAGCTGTCTCTGCGCTCGGTGCTCTTTTTTATTGGTTAACGCTGTTGCCCAATGACCTTCAGCTTTGCTGTTCTAGCGGATGTCGTGCAGTGTCTGGACCTGCTGCATCCCCATGAAACTCTGGTGCCACGTTAACTAGTGCTGCCATCTAATTCGTCTCTCCCTTTTACTTTCCTTCCAGCCTTTTGAAAAATTATTGGCCGCCTTGGAAAAAGTCTGCCACCAACTGATTGAGGCCAAGGTTCTGCTAAAGTGCTTGAGGTCTGCTATTTTCCTGAAAGTGTCTCGCTTAAGATACTGAAAAGTTATATGCAGTGCTCTGCTGTACTGCGCTGGGACGCACGAGCCTACCTCCTCGGCGGCTCAAGCCCCAACTGGCGCTGCCACGCAGAGGCTGAGCGGCATGGTGCAAGCACACGTTCGCAACCTAGTCACCACCACCGAAGTGAGGCTCGCCGCTCTTTCTGCTGAGCTTACACGAAGCACTGAAGAGGTTTTGACGTCACGTGCATTTGCTGAATAGACGACCTCACTATTTTAACTGCTGGTAAGACTGGCGCGTTGCAGAAAGACCTTTCCATCTTGCTGCTGCGGCTCAACGAAGTGGTCTGGAGCGTCTATACGATACTGCCGCCCTTCTATTATATAGCGAAACATGTGGTTAAAGGCCATGTGCTTCAATATCGGTCATCTCGTGACCTCCAAGTCCAGCACGATGCACTTGCTCAGCTCTATTTTAAGCAGCCCCGCGCGCTTCGACGAGGAGGTAGACTACCTCATGGGAGCTTCTTTTTAGTTTCCCGGCGCCTTCTGTGCAGGTGGTTGGTCATGCCCTGCGCATCAGTCTGCTGAGCATCTCATGGGCCTGCACCCGCATAGACATCGCTAGCGTCACCGAAGACCAGCTCAACCCGCTCAGTGAGACGGTAACCAATAAAGTACGCACTTGTGTGTTGCTAGTGCCTTATTGTTGGCCACGCAAATCTCAGGCACATGCTCTTTCGAAAGCCTGCGTCAAGCTGTTCGAGGCTGCCTCTCCTTTTCTACAGCTTAAAGTTTTTTTTTGCCGCTCTCCCATGTTTCCGCCCCTTTCTCACTTGCGTTCCCCCCCGCAGGCGTTCTTTGTATGGAGTGATCTATTAGTGCTCTGCTCGAAGCAACTTTCCTTCACGAGCTTGGAGTCGTTGTCCGTGAAGGCCACCGACGAGGAACTGAACTTGTACTGCAATGTGCTCGACAACATACTCGACGGTCGACCTGCTTTCAGTGACCCTTATTGCGGTGGCCCACGTGGTTCTCGACAGATACGCGAAGCGACAATCCGGTCACCCACCACATGCTCAGAGCGCTGCCAGAGACACATGACAATCTTTTTTCGCTGACCAATAAGGACTCATTTGACCCCTATCAATTGGGTAGTGCGGGCGCCCCTTCTTCTTATTGGCCACTTGGACCTTCCTGCTCTTATCAGACGACTCCCATTTGCGCGTTTACATCGGGACTTCCTGCCTCATCTCATTTTTCAAGTTGGTCCTTTCGAACGTCGTCGACGTCCGCTACTGTCACGGTTACTTGCACCTGCTGGCCAATGAGCACTACGGAAAAGTCGTGCGCCACTTCATGAAGATGATCCGCATGCATGCACCTCCCGACGTGCTAGCCCACCTCATCGTCGAGAATCTCTGCACCGTACGCCGTTCTCTTCGACTCACCTCTCCAGCTTGCTCTTCACTACTTTTACCTTGCAAAGCTGTTTGAGGGCTACCTGGAAAGCGGCGACGCTCACGAGTTTGAGGAGGTCAAAGAAACGGGTGCGTTCAGTGGCTGGTTGTGTAGCTTCTGTGTTCGTATTGACTATAAGGGTTGATGTTTGTGCGGTCATTTGGGGTCGATACGTACGAGGAGACGTTCAGGAGGCGTTTGCTTAAAATTCACGAGCTAGGAATTAAGAGAGCATTCGCGTCGGGTGCGCTTCTTGGCACTCTTCTTATCCTACGCGGGGCTATTGCTGCTCGCGTCTATATAGAGCTCAAGTTCCTTCGCATCCTTCAGTTTATGTCTTCGCGGTTGATCCCGCAGGACGCTTCCTTGGTGTATGTGGATGACTCGCTTAAGATGGTCTGAGAGGCTCTTATTTACTTACCAGTTACAAGTTTGTGGAGGATCTAGCGAAAGAAGCGGTGTTAGACGAGAAAAGCTCTCGTTTAGTGGAGGAGTTTATGAACAACCTTCTTCGCATTTCTGCAAAAAGCACTGACGTACCTCATTTGCTTTAAGTCGGTTTTTTCCAGTTTACTTCGATGATCTGCCTCCAGGGAGCTGAGGTCGATGGCGTAAAGTCTGCAAAGTCTCGTTTCAACGCTATTGAAAAAGGCCAATTAGCAAACCCCATCTCCGAAGCGTACTAGCGTTTAATCCTAAGTAACTTTTTTAAAGGATTGGCTTCAAAATGATAAAGTACTAAAGACTCTAATTTTAATGTGTTGCTTGTCTAAAAACGACGTGAGGGTGTATGAGATTGTGAAACTTTATACTTAAAAATACGTTATAAGTCAGGATTATAAGGTATTCTTTTATTGATGCCTTAATAAGGTTACATAGTACAGTTTACGGTTGGGCAGGAAATTATTATAACTTGGGCTTTATAGTCGAATCGCACAACAAAACGTTAGTAAAATAGTTGGGATGGGGGGACTCGAAATTATAAAGCAAACTTTTCAAAGTGCAATAACATTATTTTAGAAACTCAATGTTTTAGAAATATAACACCGCTGTGTGCACTTTTAATAGATTGTTAAGCTCTGTAATAGGTAACTACCACATGCCCTTCTCCCTCCCCTAACTTTTAATTCTCCTTGCTATGAAACAAAATGTCTCTTTGGTAATTATTATTTTTTTAGTATCTTTTCGTTTATTTCAGAGAAAATCACTTATATTACGGAGTACTCCACTATCAGGTGGATAAACAAACTGCTTCTTCTGTAAAAGGATAATTGACAATTTTCGGGTCCTCTACCAAATAGTAAAGATTGTGTTTTTTGTTTTTTTTGATTAGGTTATAGTTAATTAGTGGTATCATTTTCCAAGCCTAAAAGTGGCTGCCAATTTTAAGTTAAAGGGATAATAACGCAAGCTAAATTTTTGGCCTTTAAGTTGTTACGAAACTCCAAGGGATAACGCTCGCCAATAATTAACCCTTTAACGGGCAAAACTTTGGGTCTTAAAATAGATTTGTTTTACGTTCACTGTTAACTTAATTTACCGCTTTTTCATGTTTTGTGGGTTGCTGCCTAATCCGTTAGAACATGGTACTCAAACGTACCCGAGATTTTTTCAGAGAACGAGCCTGCCGTTTAGGGCCAATTTCCATAGACCTACTCTTACAAATTGAACCTAGGCGACAAGTAGTAAACATGGTAACCAGTAACCTAAAAGGAGTAAAAGACCTCTTTCCTACCATCTCTCTTTATTAAGTTGCTATCCTTTAACTTTTTTGATAATTTACTAACAGAGTTAATTTTTTTTTTCCATAATAAAAGAGGTAAGCATATTCTTGAGTGCTCCGAATTGCACTGAGAGGTACAGCACTTAGGGTTGCATTTCAAGAGTCGTTACTACTTGACTTTGCAACTTTTGATGCAATCTAAGTATACCTATATAATTTAAGTTAGGCCTAAGCATATAAAATCTAACGACAGTTCAATAGTTTTTTTTTTTGATTTTAAATTCATTAGTAGATCTTTAAACATTTTAGACAATTTCTATAACAGCTCTCAAAGAGTTAGCAAGCTTATTAGCTTTCTAGGAAACGCATAACCACTTTTTTCAGCGACTAATAAACTGACAATAATTAAAAACTATATACAGTAGTGATGTACTTCCCACTCTTTGAACGCATATCAACTAATTTTTAATTTTTATAAATAAGCCTTTTCTACCAAAAATTCTCAATTTTGCTTCATAACTGACGTTGTTTATGATAAAATACAGTAGTTCGGCAGAAAATGTTGAAGACACTTAAGTTGAGCATTTAGATCGAAGATCATTTAAAAATTTGTTTATTTATTGATATTCCTGGTGGTCGATCGAGTCAAAATACTTCGAATAATGGAACTCTCAATCAGGAGTGATTGCAGACATATCACAAAATAGCTTTTTAGCGATAAGATGTTATTATTTCTTGACATTAACAAACAAAAAAAGAACTACCGCTTACAAGCCTAACGAGGGCGGCCAGAAAACGTGTCCCTTCCCATGGTTCGTAAATAAGTTCGCTCATTAGCTGGCAGTTAGTGTGCCTGGCTAGCCTGTCGTGGAAGGTACTGGCGTGACGACGTCTAAAGGGGAAGGCCCGGTGAAAAGCTTCTAACGGACAAACAACAGCGCTTTATCAAAACGCGTAGCAATTTTTTCTGTGCATTTGAAGTGCAGAAGCTATTGCAATGGAGTCGTAGGTCCAAGCAGCAGACGCGTATGTCGTTATTGACGGATTGTAAGACGTATACAATTGCCGTTTATTTTCGCGTAGAAAGCTTGCCCTGATTGCATAGTAAAAGGTGTCTTAGTTGCTGTCTTGACCTTCGCCACTAGATAGTCCACGTGCGACTGCTAGGAAAGTTTGTTGTCGTTGATGACTCCCAAGTATTTTGCTCGAGAACACCACGGAATCTTCACGTTAAAAGGTTAAGGGCGTCAACAGAGAGGCGCTTTCTTTCTAATTAAAAGCGTTATGCTCTTCATCGCATTTATAGAAACTTTCCAATTAAGGCACCAGTCGGCAAGGGCGTCAAGTTAGCGCTGTAGATGCATGCATAGCAAAGCGGGAGACTTCGGCGATGAGTAAGCGGTTGTATCATTTGCGTAAAGAGCGATTCATGTGTGGCAGCTGTCAGAGACCTCAGCGATCCTTGTTTATCTCTCACGGGCATGCTGAAGGCGCGACCATTTGGATACAACTTCAGCACGTTGTAAAGGCCATGAGGAACCGATAATGAGCGCAGTTTGTGCAACGAGCCTTCATGCCATACCTGATTAAATGCCTTTTCAAAGTCAAGGTAGACAGCACCTGATGCTTCTTGAACTTAATAGTGTGCTCCATTCGTTTTAGCGGAGGAGATGCTGAGTCCTAGAATGCTCTGGTCAAAATCCAAACTAAAACTCCGGCAAGGCGTCCCGAGCGTCAATGACCTCTTTAAGACGGCATAGTAACCCACTTTGCCGACAGCTGACAGGAAGCTGATGGGTCGGTTTTGCTAGGTGTTGAATCCGATTTAATTGTCTTTAAGTGTCTTTAACAGCATCACAATAGTCGCCGGCCTCCCATCAAATCGGGAAGACGGCAAGGACCATTGTATTTTCACTAGGAAGTGCATATAATATACACTGCTTACTGCATTTCTTCAGCATCTCACCAGTGATGCCCTCGGGGCCAAGCGCTTTTCGTTAGGGTTGCGCTTCTACAAACGCTTGAAGCTCGCCAACATTAACGATCTTAAGGGGTTTGTAGACATCGGGAAGAGATAACTCGCCGACGATGGCATTATTTGGCAGTTAAGTAAGCAGCTGGCGCTTTCCAGGTAGCAAGGAGAAGCGTAACTTAGTCTCCATCACTCGCCCACTATATTTTTTTTCACGAAGAGATGGTAGTGGTGCAAGTACCCGATTTTTGGTCCTTTTAACCCATTTTTAAAAGAAAAGCGGCTGCTAATGCCTGATTCTAATTTATTGTGCAGCTTGACCTTCCATAACATATAAAATATATAAATAACAAGGGCTTTTCAGGTCTCCCTAGGGTTAGGGTTGGCTGTGGTAGTAGGAGTCATGAGGGCTATAGTAGGAGTTTTGAGGACTGGAATGATTTGCAAAATATATCATTACAAACACACTTCCATGGTTTTTTAGTCAACCTCTGAAGGTAAAATTATTGAGACACGACTCCTTATCAATAAAATATTTTTATAGCTAGCGAAGCTCTATAAGTTTAACCACCAGATGAAGGTACAAAGAGTTAAAAAAGAGGGAGCAATTAGGTTCTTTATAAGGTGAAGGGTTAGGGTTAGGTTAGGGTTAGGGTTAGGGTTAGGTTAGGGTTAGGTTAGGGTTAGGGTTAGGGTTAGGGTTAGGTTAGGGTTAGGGTTAGGTTAAGGTTAAGGTTAAAGGGTTAGGGTTAGGGTTAGGTTAGGGTTAGGGTTAGGTTAGGGTTAGGGTTTAGGGTTAGGGTTTTTTGGTTAGGGTTAGGGTTAGGGTTAGGTTAGGGTTAGGTTAGGTTAGGGTTAGGGTTAAGGGTTAGGGTTAGGTTAGGGTTAGGTTAAGGGTTAGGGTTAAGGTTAGGGTTAGGTTAGGGTTAGGGTTAGGTTAGGGTTAGGGTTAGGGTTAGGTTAAGGTTAGGGTTAGGGTTAGGTTAGGGTTAGGTTAGGGTTAGGGTTAGGTTTAGGGTTAGGGTTAGGGTTAAGGTTAGGGTTAGGTTAGGGTTTAGGGTTTTGGTTAGGGTTAGGGTTAGGGTTAGGTTAGGGTTAGGGTTAGGTTAGGGTTAGGGTTAAGGTTAGGGTTAGGGTTAGGGTTAGGGTTAGGGTTAGGGTTTGGGTTAGGGTTAGGTTAGGTTTGGTTAGGTTAGGGTTAGGTTAGGGTTAGGGTTAGGGTTAGGGTTAGGGTTAGGGTTAGGGTTAGGGTTAGGGTTTAGGGTTAGGGTTAAGGGTTAGGGTTAGGTTAAGGGTTAGGGTTAGGGTTAAGGGTTAGGGTTAGGGTTAGGGTTAGGGTTAGGTTAGGGTTAAGGTTAGGTTAGGGTTAGGGTTAGGTTAGGTTAGGGTTAGGGTTAGGTTAGGGTTAGGGTTAGGGTTAGGTTAGGTTAGGGTTAGGGTTAAGGGTTAAGGGTTAGGGTTAGGGTTAAGGTTAAGGGTTAGGTTAGGGTTAGGTTAGGGTTAGGTTAGGGTTAGGGTTAGGGTTAGGGTTAGGGTTAGGGTTAGGGTTAGGTTAAGGTTTTAGGGTTAGGGTTAGGGTTAGGGTTAGGGTTAGGGTTAGGTTAGGGTTAGGGTTAGGGTTAGGGTTAGGGTTAGGGTTAGGGTTAGTTAGGGTTGGGGGGTTAGGT